TGAACCCATAACTGCCACTTTGGGGAGTCAAGGTTCTGTTCTCCCCTTCTCTAGCCCTATTATTCAAAGAACCAACTACTGAAGGAGACATCCTGAGGGAGAATGTCTCTCCTCCTGCCAAGTGGTCCAGATCCTGCCCACCTCCTCCAATATCATGGCTCTGCTCACTCTTGCATCTCTAGTCCCTATCTCTCAACTGCTTTGTTCTCCTCTCTCACACAGTGGGTACAAATCTTCCCGCCTGGTAACACAATTACTTGAATGGATTGCCTGCTCAAATAACTACTCATTTCCTTGCATCCATTGCCATACATTTCAGTATGTCTCCATTTCCACAACACTCCCCTCCTGCTCAATCCTCTGCAATGTAACTTTCCGTGTTCTCCAACCAATCACATATCCACAGTGCTGAATGTGTTATTAATGTTCACAGTGACTCCCAGTTGTCAAATGGACCTGCTCCTTGACCTCTCTGGAGTGTTTGGTTTGATTGATCAAACTATGCCCCTCAAAATGTTCTTCTACTTTGGCTTCAATGGCATCAATCAACTGCTGGTGGCTCCTTCTCTGTATTCTTAACAGGGTTTTACCTGGCTCCTTCCTTACTTCAAGTGTTGTTAAGGCAAGTGTCACTACCAAATGAGTGGTGATCCTCACTGTGGAGTATGATAAAGACTCAAAAGCTATAGAAGGCTTACCGTTTAAGATCTACAACTTTACTCAGGATATTCCTATTACTTATTTACAAACAAAAACTTACTTCACAACCTTGCACTTCTACCCAAATTCTGCAGCAGCCCAGCCAGACAAGACCACCCACTTGCTATCTCAAGTTCACTCTAGGCACATTAGCAACAACATTCTCTCTGCCTGGAATTCCCTTTCTCTCAGTCATATCCTACCTAGCTTTTAAGATTCAGCTCAAGACCCATTTTCCAGAGACAACTCCAATCATAGAGACTTTGACCTTCTGCAAAATTACGGGACTTTAAAGTATTACCGTCTTGTATTTAATCACATGTAATCACGTGTTTTAATAAAGTCCAGCTCCTTCACTGGTTTCCGGATAGAATCCACTCAACCAATCTTCATTGTGATTTCTATGGTTTTATTGATATCTGTAAAGTAGAAGGGTCAAATGGCACAGAACATAGCATTTCACATGAAAAGTCTCCATTAGGCTTGCCCTTCCCTAAAAGCCACCTTCATACCCCTATCAGTAACCCTCCAATCCTTTAAGTTCCTTCTTCTTTCAGAAATCTGAGAACCATCCAGGCCCTGGAGCTAACTTCTACCCAAGCTTATCAAAGCGTCATCTCAAGAAAGGCATATTTCCCAGCAAAGGAATCCTCACACCTGTGGCCAAGATGACTTTACTTTGTTTTTTGTTTTAACTCACAGTTTTGCTCAAATGTAGTTCGTGAGTCCTCAATTAAATTATAAACATCTCTAGGACAAGACAGTCCATACTCTGAACACTGTAGAACACTGTTATTCACAAAGACAGTACTCTGTAAACATCTGTCAAATGTATAAGAAGAAGTCACACAAAAAAGAAACATCAGTGTAGTGGGCTGAATGGTGGTCCCCCCCAAAATATATGTCTACATCCTAATCCCTAGAGCCTGTGAAGGTGACCTTATTTGGAAAAAGGGTCTTTGTAGATATATGTAAGTTATAAATCTTCAGATAAAATCATCTGGATTACCCAGTGGGCTCTAAATTCAATGACAAATGTCCTTATAAGAGACAGAAGAGGAGAAGACACAGAACACAGAGGAGAAGGCCATGGGAAAACAAAGGTAGAAGTTAGAGTTATGCCGCCAGAGCCAAGGAATACCTGGCATTACCAGAAGCTGGATGAAGCAAGGGAAGGATTCTCCCTTGGAGCGTTCAGAGGGAACACTGCCTAGACAACACCTTGATTTCAGACTTGTGTACTAGACAACTATAAGGGAATAAATTTCACTGTGCTAAGCATTTTAGATGACTTAGACATGGATCTTGCCTTGGAGAAACTTATATTTCTTAACTGATTCTGGCTATTGCCTAGACTTGGGATGTCAACTGCTAGCAGGAAATTTTACCTTGTGTTTCATAAAAGACCACAGACACAGTTATATTTTCATGGTCATGAGAACAAGAAGTCATAATCTAGCTCTAGAGTCACAGATGGGGAAAGGACTCTATCCAGGCCAGCCTTTCCTAATTCCTGCAACTATCAGGGGAGGCCATGAAAGTCTGAACAAGTCAACAAGTCATTCAAAAGAGCCAGACATACATCATTGCATGGGACATGTAATCCCTATGTCACTGCTCAAACAGGGTTGTAGAAAGATGTCAAAAGAAAGCACCTGTGACTACTACAGATTTGAGACAAAGCCAGCAGAGGACAGTTCTCCAAAGTAAGTTCATACTATGACAGGAAAAAACTGAAAATCCCTTGTTTGGAAAAATACAGCAGGTGCTTGAGCTGGCAGAAGAAGCTTTCCTGGACCAATCTTGGCACAAAAGAAAGCAAGTAATGGGGACTGAATAAAAAGTCACAAGTACAAGCCATAGTTTCAGAAAATTGCCTAAAGGCAAGGTAGTAGAGTGGAGAGTAAACACTAAAAGAACATATTCACACATAAAACCCATATCATAAAGACAATTCTTGTTAGCTTGGAACACATCATTTGTCCCTCTTCCATACAAAACTTGCACAAATAACTGATCCAGAAAGAACTTGCCTCATTTAAAGACGATTATAAAATGAGAAGAAAAAAACAAAAATCACATACAGCTACGAAAGGACGGAAAACAAAAATATTGCCACAGAACGGATAAAAATTGTGGCCAAATTTGATGTCATGACACCAAAAATAAGCAAATGCCTGTATAAAACAAAAATTCAATGTAAATATACAAGAGCTCAAGTAAAATAAGGCAAAGCAATAGAAGGAGATGACTTATGTATTGACAGGGCTCATAAACAGAAGAGAAAAATAAAAATGCAGATCTTAGAGACAGTCCCCCCAAAAAATAAATACTGCTAAAAAGAAAGTAATGATTATGAAAGGCACAAATGGGAAAAGAGGGCAAAATGAAATGTAAATAACTGAGTTAATATGGTAGTCAAACAATGGAAATCAAACACGTGCATAATTAGTGTTCCCAAAGAGCATAATCAAAACAATGGAAATAGTTTTCAATCCATACTTTTTTTCTCCCTGTTTAGAGAAAAACCTTTGGTGAAATAAATTAAGACCAAGGATTTTATATCCAATCAAACTGTTGTAGAAGTATAAAGACATGTGACAAACTTTTTTTGAACATGCCAAGAACCCAAAGAATTTGGTTCCCTATTAAACCCTTTCTCCACTCCTAAAAGAAATTGCTATAGCATTAACTTCTGCCAACCAAAAAATTAATGAAGAAACTGTGACAAAAATACTAACAGTAAGTGCTGAATTCACTATAACTAAGACCAAAATAAATATAGAGATTATGGTTATAGTTGCAGAATGAATATGTTATAAGCTCTAAAATGTAACAATGTATAATTATCAAGTTGGGAGAGCAAGGGATCCAGAAAGTCGGTGGTAGTATACTTATGCTCATTTCCTCATCTTTTAGAGAGGAGTAGAAAATACCACTGAGAATCTACACAAATCCATCCTTCCTTGCTTCTTTGTTGGCAGAGCTAGGTGGGGCCTCTCCCCAGTTCCAGGTGACGATCCTCTAAGCCAGTCTTGGTAAATCCATCTCCTTTGACAATGACTGCTGTTAGCATGCACATGTGATTCAACTCTGGCCAATGAGACATGAGGGGACATGTGTTTCCTTGCTCTTGTGAAGAAATGTGAAATGTGCTGTCTCTGCCACAAATTTAGGGTAAGTTAATGCCTCTAAATATAACCGTGATGATTAAGGCCTACGTATATGTTGAGGATGGCAGAGTGAGAAGATGGAAAAACCTGGGTCCTAATGACTTGGTTGAGATGCTAGAACTACTCTACCTCTGGACTTCTTAATATTGAGATAAATGTCTTTCTTGATTAAGCAATCAGTTTTCAGTTACTTGTTGATGAAAATATTCTGATATACTAGAGGTCAAAATGGATCACTTAAAATTGATAAATCAAGCAACAGAAATATATATATATATATAAATGTAAAGAGGTAAACATGAAGAAGAAATTATATCATCAGTCTTTGGGTAGGGGAAGGTGAAGGAAGTGGAAATTACCAAGTTCCTCAGTGCTCACTGGAGGGAGTAGAAAGAACTACATAGAGTTCTAAAGATAACTGCTAAACAAAAAATACAAATCTTCCAAATTATCAGAAAATCCACACACACACCCAACAAAGCAGAAACATAGCTTACATTGTGAATTTAACAAAAACAACAAAAGAAGATATGATGACAGAACTAAAACCATGTACAACAGGATCGGACCGTTGTGATGCATAGGGTTTTCACTGGCTAATTCTTTGGAAGTAGATCGCCAGACCCATCTTCTTAGTTTGTCTTAGTCTGGAAGCTCCGCTGAAACCTGTTCAGCATCATAGCAACACACAAGCCTCCAGTCACAAACAAGTGGTGGCTGTGCTCGAGATGTATTGGCCAGAATCAAACCAAGTTTCCTGCGTGGAAGGCGAGAAATCTTCCACTGAACCTCCACTGCCACTTTAGCAGAAGTCTGGAAAAGCCTAAATGCCAACATATAGTAGATGAGGTAGACCATGAAGCCATTAAAAAGAATGAAGTGGTTCTCTGTGGACAAATACTGAACAGTCTTCAAGATGTAATGTTAGGAGAACAAAGCAAGGTGCAGAACAAAATATATAGTAAGCTACCATTTAACTAAAAAGAGAAAAATATATATATATAAAATCTCCTGTACACACACTTGTGTGTGAATATGCTCTCTTGAGGGATACACAGGACAGTAGTAACACTGCCTCTGTGGAGGGTAAACCAGTGGCTCAGAGCAAGAATGAAGAGGGAAACTTACATTGCACTATATCCTCGTTTTGAGCTATGTTCCACTTGCATATATAACCTCAAAAACTATTTTTAAAAAATTAAAGCCTTTTTCATGTGTTTTCTTTTATCAGACTCATATATCTTCTCAAATCCTCAACAAATATGCACTTAGTGTCTATTCTTCCAAAGAGGGTGTCATACTTGTGGGTATTCTTGTTTTGTTCCGGGGACAGGCAGGATAAATTTAGCCCTTAAGGGCATCACTGTTTCAATTTTCTGTGTGATTATGATCTGTAGGAGAAGGAAAAAAAAAAAAAAAAGACAACACTGTCTCTTTCTTAAAATCCAGTAAATCATTTCTGTTCTTAAGCAAATCTGTTGCCAAACATCAAAAGGTTTCTCTCTACCTTTATATGCAAAGATAAACTGTTTTTCAAAGGCACTTCTTATTTTACCAAAAACACAAAAAAAAATCAAGATTCCTAAAGTTTTGTGGGATGTAGCTAGATCAGGGCAAGAGGGCAATGTCTGCTTCTTCAAACAAAAGAAGAGAAAGGAAGATTTTGTTCACGTTTTGTTTGAATCTCTTTCCTCTTTAGAACGGCTGTGCGAAGTTTCAACCTGAAAATATGTGGCTGGAATGAATGTGCTGACAGGCATTTATCTAGAGAAATGTGAATGTAACACAATGATTCTTATCCAGGTGCATTAGGGGTTTTTCATTATTTTAAAGGCTCCACAAGCATTTGTTAAGGAAACTTACATCCTCAGTAACACTAATTCAGGCAATATAATAGTTTACTTAGCTTATAAAGTCTTGCACATTAGAAATTTAAAAACTATGCGATTCAGCCATTGCAGATGTAACATTAGTGAGACGTAAATGAGTGTACATATTACAGTCTCAATAAGCCCACAAAAGTGTTTTAAGCACAACATCATTAAGGACAAAAAGCTCAAAAAAATACCAGTAT